AGTTCACTAATTGTATATCTGTATATTTTGCTATTTCGTTGGATCTATCAACACGTGTGGATGCAGAAATTTCAACTCTAGATATCATACTAACCTACATAAGTTTAATTGTCTCGCAGTCTCGTGCGTAAACGAGGATTTGATTAGGAAAACTTATACGGAGGAGATATAGGTCATGAATTAATATGATTATGAATATATTACACGCCCTTTCAATTTAGGTAACACGACATCTGTCTGACAGCACTATTTCCTTGTGTTTGAAGTGATATCTCAAATTTGGCACATAGAAACTCGCTCAAACTTACTATACACAGATTATCCGTCCTCAAACCACCAGTTTCAAGAAAATCGTACAGTAGGATACGAATAAACTATTGTCCGAATAACCTCTTTTCTGAGCCGGACAGATGTCGCCCAATCAGTTTAATGTGGTTACCGTCTCTAAAGTTGGCACGAGAGTTATTAATCTCCTATCTAATATCTATTCGAAGTCAATCCTGTAAACTGATACTCCTTTTTTAGTAATTTATACATGTGTTGTCTCCTTCTGATTTCCAGACTATTACCGGTCACGCTAAATTATAATGACATCAATGTGTCTAAAGAAATCGGTGGTTCACCTAACCATGTGCTTTCGCGCCACTGCGGGCGCGCTTGTTTTACCGCCGTGAGGCGGGCGCGCGCTACTGCAAGCGCAAGGGCTCTGGATAGAGCAAATCGGTGGCATCACTCAGTAAACTGCGAGTTTTTAGCGCGTGTCTTGTTGGAATGCATCAATCCGTATGCAGATCGGCGAGATGCGAAGGATTGACATCGTGAATCAATAGCTTGACCATGGCCATTGTTAATGATCTGGCCCGGCGCGCGCTACTTCGTAGCACTTGCCGTCGGGCCCAACATTTCGAGAAGAAAGCGGCGCGCGCTACTTCGAAGAAATTTAGACGAGTAACATCCGTCAACTAAGTTGATTCACGATGTCAATCCTTCGCAGCTCGGTGAGGCACAGTGGTGCATCTCGCCGATCTACCGAAGTGGTTGCGAGAAGCATTATTTGATGCGCGCGCGACCCAGTAGTGCATCGCGCTACAATCAACGAAGTAGCCCGCGCTGGGTAAGTTCATTGGTTATAATCCACGATGTCAATCCTTCGCAGCTCGGTGTTACTGGGCCGCGCTCAGCCTGTCATTCTGCCGAATCTCTATTCATGATAGCCTGAGGTCCTCAAGGTAAAGCTCGGTGAGGCCCAGTTGTGCATCTCGTCCATCTACCGAAGGCGAGAAGAATTATTTGATGCGCGGCGTGGCTCAGTAGTGCATCGCGCTACATATAACAATAACAATGGCAAATTAAACACCATATTTAGACTTTTAAAAACTTTAATTTAAAATTTGGAAAAATTCCGTTAATTCAACAAATCTCTCGAGCGCGCGGGGCTAAAATAGTTTAGTTTACTAGACAAATTAATCCGTGTTGTTTGCGGTGCACTTTAATTCAATCTTTCTGAACGTGATTGAGAGTAGCGCGAGCAATTGACGGATTATAGCCGTCTAAATTTCTTCGAAGTAGCGCGCGCCGCTTTCTTTCCAAAATATTAGCCCGAGGCACGTAACACGTGCTATTAAGTTAAAAATAGCGGGCGCCGGGTTAGTCTATTAACAATGGACAATTAAGCTTTTAGCTTATAAAGCAATTAATCAACAAGCCAGTATAAGAATGGTTTTTTACTTTACATGTAGCTAATGGAATTTATAGCGAAAGTTTGACAAACGTTGGCGTTTCACATTCGCTATTAATTGTCGTTTCACTAGCGCGAGCGGGATATAAAAACATAAAAGTATTAATGTGTAGTAGAAGACCCCCGAAAATTGACCCCCGACAATAAAATTTAATACAATTAACCCTGACCATGACCCTGACCCTGACCCTGACCCTGACCCTGACCCTCGACCCTGACCCTGACCACTGACCCTGACCCTGACCCTGACCCTGACCCTGACCCTGACCCTGACCCTGACCCTGACCCTGACCCTGACCCTGACCCTGACCCTGACTCAGGACCCTAACCATGACTCTGACGGCCTGACCCAGGACCAGGACCCTGACCTTGACGCAGGACCCTGACTCTGACCCGATCAATTGACCCCAATGTAATACTAATTACATGGGGGTCAATCCCAGCAAACCCTACCGACTGGTGTATATCTCCAAAAGTAAAATAAATAGAACCTTCCGGTTTTCAACATGACAACAAAATTTCCGTCTCGTAAATTTAAAGTTAGCTCCCCAGGAGCCAAATTTGGGACAACTTAGGTTCTGAATTAAACCGAAAAGTTTGATTTTGGGCTAAATAAAAGATCACAGCTTTTAAACTTTGCAAAGTAATGTCGTTGTCATGACTACTATGTTGTATGTACTAGGCTAAATGCAGCGTGCGAAAGGTAAACTTGACGTGACGCGCGACGACAAACGTGCTGTTGAAAATCTATCACCTCTAGCGAGCCCAGCAGGCGGTAAGATTTTCTGGGTAGGCGAGAGAGTTGAGAGTTCATAGTTCAGCTGCAGAAGAAAGCAGTAGGAAGGGGGGGGGGGTGGGGTGAGAAGGGGGGGGGGGGGGGAAGGTGCAGGGAGGTAGGGGGATGTTTTGCGATATAAGAATTATAATTTCGGCGGAAAATGTATGAAGTTTTAAAAGTCGATTTTGAGGGTGAAGATCGCGTTTTTACTTACCCATCTAGATCTCCTTTCATGTTGGCAAAATTCTCTACTTTCTTTTGATATTTTAAAATTGAAATTTGACTTGATTGGTGGAGAGTTATAGTTTGTCAAAGTGAACGTTTTAAAATGAAAGCGCAAATTCTTTTAAACGCGCGTAGGTTCGGCCTGTCGGGGGGTCAATTGTCGGGGGGGGGGGGGGGGTCAATTGTCGTACTAAACCCTAGATTTCGCGACAATCGACCGCAGTGTAATAACATAGGGGATCAATTGTCGGGGGCTTAATTGTCGGGGGGTCAATTGTCGGGAGGTCAATTTTCGCGGTACCTAATATAGAGATTCGGCGGAATGACAACCTAGGAGCGCCACCCAGTATAGTAATTAAAGCCCTAGCCGATGACAATGAAAAATGATATGACACTGTTTTTAAAAATTTAGGAAATCTGACTGATCCTTTATAAATTTAAAACAATCAATAACAATAAGGAGTCCGAATGCTATGAAATTGGATAAATGGAAAAATAAGAAATGAGTCGCGGTATCACTGTCTCAATATCAACAAATACAATGCTCAATAAATCCGCACAGTATGGAATTATCGCAGCACATATGTAAGATCTGCCAGATAAGACGATATCATTTTCATTAATACAAATCAATCAGTCTGAGTCCGTAATCAATGAATCCTGATCGCCTGATACACCGAGACCACCATATCGGGATAAAGGCAAATAAGCTACAGATCTTGTCATATTTTCACGGTTCTTCTTTCGTTCGAAGATCAGTGACCATGAGAGAACAAAACAAATGATTGCCAAAACCAGGATTACGCACACAAGAAGGACAGTTGTTATTCTCGACGATACGATTTCACAGTTTCCCTCATTGCCTGTACTCCATCTCCAGTTCTTTCCTAGATGACATTTGCAAGTGTCTCCTTGATCAACAACAGATCCCAGGGGACAGGCAAGGCATGTTAAAGCCCCCTTTTGACTAACAGTTCCTCGCGAACAATCTTGACATTTTGTGCTGTTCCAAAACGTGCCCGCCTCGCAAATACAATGTTGAGAACCAGTGGTCGAAGTAGTTCCAGCTGGACAACTCAGACAGGTTGCTGTTAGTTGGTTTTTGTAAGTTCCTGGTAAACATGGCAAACATGATCCACTATTTGGTGGGCCCCAGTTCCATGTCATACCAGAAGAACAGTTACAGGACCGTGCTCCAGTGATCACAGTAGAACCAGGGGAACATGTCTGACACTCTAATGCTCCCTCCTGGCTAACTGATCCTTCTGGACAATCCAAACAATCAGTCCCGTTCCAGAACAATCCAGCTGAACAGGAGCACGATACTGCTCCATAAGCAGAGGAGGCAGCAACAGGGCAGTTGAAACACGAGGTTAGAGTTCCTTCAACAGCTTTGTAAGTGTTTGAAGGGCAAGGTTTGCAGGTTCTATAATTCCGATACATTCCAGGTGGACAGGAAATGATGGAACCTGTACATGTCACGATAACATCATTATTATGTGTACATTCATTGGACCCTGAATCGGTAGTATTGTAACTGCACGATGCCCAATATCGTTCTAAACAATGGACATCAGCAAGTTTTATCTGATATTTATTCTGGAGTTCTGGCCAAAGTAACCCATACACCCAACCACCTCGTGCATCAAATCCCATCTCCCTACAAATAGCGTAAACTTCGTCAGGACCTAAGTGCTCGCCGTCACAAACTGTTCCGCCTTCATAGAGTAGCAATCCTTGTTGCTCTTCTAGAATTATTTCACCGTGTTGGTCCACCAGACGGAAATCTGCAACTGGAATAAGGAGAATTTATTTGACTAAATAGTCTCATTCTTACTTCTTAGTTCTTAGTTGTAGTTGAAGGAAAGTAAAAATAATTGAAGCTGTTTTCAATTGTTCTTCGTAACGACTCAGATAAAATAGGCCCACTCAGTTCAGAAATTATCTCAGGAATAATAATTTCTTATGCTCACATTTTCACTGTAACATTGTGTCATATGCCTCATACCCATTACCCAAACAAACATAATCGTTGCTAAAGTTTACCTGAATATGAGCACTTCAATGCAAAAAGTAAAACGATCAGTTCCTTGATAAGCCACATCGCGTAAAAAAAAACAAGCAATAATATGCACTGATAAGAGTGCCTCAGCCGGGTGTAGTACAGGGACAATATCAAGTTACTCTTTGCTTCACATTAATAATGAAGTACTGATAAAACTTATCACACTTTGTAACTTTTATGTTTTTATATCAAAATAATTAAATAACGCTTGCACGTTAATTTACTGAAATAAAAACTCGTGTGCTTGAAATTGTAAAATTGCAAATGTAAAAAAATTGTTAGACTTCACGTCTGTAGTTTGGATCAAAATATAAAACACTCAATTGGAGACAATGTACAAGATCTCATAGCAGAAAACAACTGCCAAGTCAATCCACAATCGCTGCTAAGATATAGATGAGCTACCACTGGAACTATCTGACAGTATATTTTCCTCATCTTCTCTGGGTTTCTCGGAAAATGAGGACAGAAGAGGATGGTTTTTACCCATGGGTAAGTCTACAGAAGTAGAACGATTATTATCACCCTCTAAACTATTTACAGTAACTGGACCTTCTAAATAGTTCGACTCTTCAAAACCACTTTCGGGAGAAACGAGCTTGCTGTGATTATTAATAAGGCATCTTGCAAGCCCAGATTCAAAGCGAGGTAGACTTATACTGCCGTCACCGCTCGAACCGGGGATAGTGTCAAGTTGTGCCAAATTGGAAGGACGGCGCTTTTTTGGCCGCTTTGAGCATTTGGAATCAGTTCGGTTAAAAGCACGTCTTTCAGTTTCACCCGATTGTTTGAGATATTTTTTAACGGTTGGCAGCTCACATTCTCGGACTAAGTTCGAAATTGATGTGTGCGTTGAATCGCGTGCAGCAGAACTCTGATCACTCTGATCATCACTTCCCTTCTGCTCTGGATTTCCTTCTATCAGAAAGGAGGTTTGTCTTGAAAGAGACGATCGTCTTGAAGAATTGTTTAAATTGGGTTGGGGTGAGGTATTCAAAGCTTGACTTGTACTTGAGAGTGATCTCTCTCGTCTCATATTTTCCAGTATTTTCCTCGTTCTATCTGACACGTGTTGTTCCAAGGAAGCCTGTTCGTTCAGCCGATCACTTAAGTTCCTCAACTTACTAGATCGAGACAGTTTTGTATCGTGCCCATTACTGGTTAGACCGTGTCCGTTACTGATAACACCATTCCCCGAGACTGGCCGCTTTGGCGTGTGAAGTTCTTGTAAGGCCCTTAGTTTAGCCACGGCTTCCTCGTTTTCGTTAGTCTTAGCTATGATGCTGTTCTTTAGACAGCTTATCGTGGTTTCCAAACGATGGATTTTCTGTTTTGTAGCCTACAATAATGAGATTAGTGAAGCTTTCTGATAATAATTATCATTTTAAAGTATGACTATTTCCGAAACTGCTTCGGTGATTACTGAGCAGTATACGTGAATCTAGAAAAAACGTTCAACTTTAAACAGAGGCACATATTAGGTGCGGTAAAAAATCGAAATTATGCGGTACCGCACCCGACTATAAAGGTAAAATGTGCGGTAAGGTGCGGTAAATTTTTACCAATTATGCGGCAAATGTGCGACGATTTTTTCGAAATTTGTGCGGGAATTGTGCGGTTTTCTTTTGCATTTTCTGAAGGACTTTGGAAATTCTAAACGTATAACCGCCGCTCTAATCAAAAATAGGTCTGTTTATGTGTTACTGAGGGTGTAGTTCTTTACTAAGACCATGATTGAACCTATATTGAGATTCAGTTATCTGAGAACAGTGACTTGATCTGGTAGAGATCAGGAGACAGTTATTTGAAGACGCCTCTTGAGTCTTGATAGAGTCGATCAGATCCGATGCCTGATCGCAAATATGTGACACGCTTGTTGGCATTGATCGTCAGTACTTGTAAACCATTTGATCCAAGATCCATTAAGCCCACTATAAAGCCAACGCTACAACGAATAGAGCTCATTACCCGATAAAAAGGGCTGCAGGTATGATCGAAGTACGGTAACGACGAGGGTTCCATAACGGCCTGGGTCACGGTCCCGAAAGGGCCTGGGTAACGGTCCCGAAAGGGCCTGGGTCATGGTCCCGAAAGGGCCTGGGTCACGTGGTAACCGGGTCACGTGGCCTATGCATGAGTTCCAAAAGGGCCTGGGTCACGGTCCCGAAAGGGCCTGGGTCAGGGTCCCGAAAGGGCCTGGGTCACGTGGTAACTGGGTCACGTGGCCTAGGTATGAGTTCCAAAAGGGCCTGGGTCACGGTCCCGAAAGGGCCTCAGTCACGGTCCTAAAAGGGCCTGAGTCACGGTCCTAAAAGGGCCCGACTTTTAACATATTTTGGTTTTTACACTCGAAAATCTTAACGCGAAAATTTCAAAATTATGCGAAATTACGCGGAAAATGCTAGATTATGCGGAAATATGCAGAAAATTACAAAATGTGCGGGAGTGTGCGGAAATCAATAAATTATGCGGAAATGTGCGGAAAACGGTAAATTGTGCGATCCCGCACCCATCGCACCTAATATGTGCCCCTGACTTTAAACGTACCATGCTGTCGAAGCTTTTCAGTTCTTGAAGAACAGTCTTGAGTCCATCAAGTTGCCTGGATTGCAGTTGTTGCACTTGTTGCAAGTTTACTCTGCTGTCATTCCTGTTATCGCGGAAGCTATTACGGCCACCACTCATGTTGCTGCGTCTGTCACCATGATCAGAACTGAAAGTTTGTGCTTGTAGTAGGTACGGTTATATTACACTGGATAACTGTAGACATAAAGTTGAAGAAGATGGTACCTTTGGACTAAAGGGATTGGGAAGGGATAATACAAGGGGTTATACAATATGTTCTTCCGTTTCTCCTTCCCCTCTTTTTACAAATTATGTTTATCAGAAGCGACTCATTCTGAGTAAAAGTACCTTTCATGAACGAACCTGGTTTTATTGGGATCAACGTTTCCTCGGAGGGTTTTCTTGAGAAGGGAGTCAGAGCCGTTAGTTTTAACTGAACCTGATGAGTTCTCCTTCAGAGCGGAGCTCATCTTCCTATTGGATGATATCCGGAGCTGAGCCTGATATTCCAGCTGCTTTCTAGCTTCTGGGTAATCCACCAGTGCCTGTAATAATTAGTAACATAACATTAATTAAATAAAAATAACATTAATTAAATAAAAATAACATTAATTAAATAAAAATAACATTAATTTAATGAAAATAACATTAATTAAATAAAAATAACATTAATTAAATAAAAAATAACATTAATTAAATAAAAAACATTAATTGAATAGAAATAACATTGATAAAATAAAAATAACATTAGTTTAAAAAAAATAACATTAATTAAATAAAAATAACATTAATTAAATAAAAATAAGATTAAATAACATTAAATAAAATTAATTAGTCGTCAAGTCTCTTACATCGTATGTGAAAGGACCCTTCACATACGATGTAAGCACTTTTTAGCCATTTTGTAACTATTATCCCTGACTCTTTAAATCTCCACTAACCGACATAAGAGCCTTCTTTGATAGAACGAGAAGCTCAGAGTATCCAACAGATCTAACATCAGCTGTCCTCCTGTTGTTGCCCTCGAACGAAAGGAGAGCAATCTCTCCAAAATACTTCCCTTCAGTTAGAGTAGCGACTACTATCCGCTCCCCTGATTCTGTTGTCACGATACATTCTAGCTTTCCTGAGAGACATCGAAAATCAGAAACAATACAATCAATACAATCAATGGGTAACATGATAGTGCTGTTTGAATAAACTGAGGGATTGTAAGCAACAGAATAAGCAAGTTAAGATAATAAACTTACACAAATTTAATAATTTAATAACTTAAATAAATAAATGATTTGACTCTCACCGTGATTAATTATATACATTTCCTTCCCGATTTCGTTGCGTCTACAAACATAGTCTCGAGGGGAGAATATCTGAGGTCTGAGTTTCAGGACCAGTTCACAGAGTAGACCCGTCTCACATTTCTCAAATATTGTTACCTGGTGAGGTGGAATCATTCATTTTTCAGCTAATTAATTTATTTCTATCGGTAACCTGCCTATCATTTCTAGCAACAAATCATGGCCATGGCAGTGTTGATTAAATTTAATGAACACGATCATTTCTGGAGAACAAAGAAGAGACCAAATTAATCAAGTAAATACAAGTAGAATTGTTTTTTTCAAAGTTTCAATTCACCTTTTTGAGAGTTTTGAGATGGATCTGTATCTGAATCCTGGCTCTCAATTTATCAGGAAGAGTTTCTAACAAGGAGGATTCATCAACACCGTGAGTTCGGCCCCAGGAGTAATCGAACCATTTCTTAACTCGTTTTTGTAAAGAGTCGGGAACTCTGTGGTGCACCATGTACCTAACGGAGTTAGTCAGTTTATTATTGGATTAATAAAGGAGTAAATTCGACAAAGAAGACCATGGAGAACGCCGAGAGACAGAAAACACGATGCTACAACGAGAGAATACTTAATGTAGAGCACGGGTCATTCGCTCCATTAATTTATTCAGTAACGGGTGGCATGGGACCTCAAGCCAGGACATTTGAGAAACTGCTTTGCAACAAACTTGCTTATAAGAAGAAGCAGAATTACAACGATATTATAAATTATTATCGGTGTAAATTATCATTTTTAATTAGGAAATTAATTTTATTGTGTATTAGAGGAGCAAGAAATACCTCAAACAAAACTTACGAATTAACTAACATGGATGATTTACAATTTAACTCTTTCGAATTGAGAGTCAACTAATTTTTTCAGTCCCATGGACTGGGTTTTATTTTTGCAATGATGATGTTCATAATATATAACCTGTAATACTATTCTGTATATATCTAATTTCGTTTTCCAAAAAAAAAAGTAAATCAATAAGTTGATGGCCCTTGTCAACGCTGTATAAGACCAAAGCAATCAACACTGAACTGTTCAACACTTACAGAAAATGTCGGGAAAAATTGCTGCTGAATCCAACATACTCAAAAATTATTTTTAATATAATAATAAAATGATCAAATAATAGATTACACAACGTTACCTTTTGATATCGTCCACTTTAGCCTGAAACTCAGTTCTAGCAGCGTTCATATTACTGATAACATCTCCAACATTACCAACCACAGCAGCGAACACGAACACTCCGTTAAAGAAGGTTAGACCGGTGAAGAGGTACTCGAGGTTGGTCTCAGGGTCCGAGCTTCCACCGATAGTTGTTAGAGTCAGGAAGGACCAGTAGAAACAGACTGTGTATTTCCTGAGAGAGACGTTATATTAATATTTATTTAACATTATATTCATTACAAGCTACTTGTCTGGATACAAATACTCATAACTGTAACACAGGCCACAGCTTGGTGAGTTAGTGGGGACGCCACCTTAGATGGAAATTATCAGCCAGAGTCGGCAATCATATTTATATCAGATAAAACGATCAGAGAAAGAGTTTTCATCTGATGATTAATTATAAATCATCAGGTGACATCTTTTTATCTGATCGTAAATTCACAGACTGCTGCTTCAATATCTCAATAAATAACTGTGTTTATCTTTGAAATATGATGAGTTAGTAAGTGTAAAGTTAGAACTTTAGAACGATTATTGGCCGACAGCTGTAAGAAGCTGTTCACTGTGCTGTAACGCCCAAATCATATTACATCATTGATCATATTGTACATGAGACGACTAAGCCGGTAACTGGTGAGTGGTAGCGGTTATCAAATAAATCATTAAATAACTCCTCACGCTGTTATAGATGGCTTAGAGCCAACACCTGATATCTCGTCAATAGTAACTATTCTAATATAGGATATCATATCGATCCATCAGGCATATAACCAAAGCGAACAGTTATTTTAATAAACCTGATACCATGTGACCAGGTGACCAGGTGACCATGTCATACCTGAGGAACTTGTGATCGTCATCTCCCTCTTCAGTAGCAGGGTAGACCCAACTGTTCATACCAAACCCTTCAAACCAGGATATACAGTAGTACACACAGGCTATCCAGTGTATAATGAGTAGCAGGTACACAATCAGGTTAAACGCTCGGAATGTATCTGGAGCATTAGTTCGACTGGGAGAGGGGAGGGAGGATTAGTAAATCAGCTTATTAGAACTTGGATAGCTTCTGCCTTCTCAGAAGTGTCCTGAATACTAATACCATCAAGATATTATCTTTTTGTGCATTTGATAGCGTTGGTAAGTTTCTCATCTGGAATTAATGACTTTGATACTGACGAAGTGGTGATCACCGATCAATCAAATTTGCCTAAACAAATTTTGCTCACCTCCCATCATTATCCACGTCATTAATTTTAGATGAAAATCTTCTGAGAAACATAAATAATAAATATATTTTTAAAGTACCTAGGCCAGTTAACCTCACAATTTACCTCTCCATACTGGCGAAAAACTCGGAGAGTGCCTTGTATTTAGCCAGTCTGGGCAACCGACAAAATCCTAGCAAGGTTATTTCTGATATAGGAACTGTCATCCCGAAATCTTTGAGTCCTGAAATAAAAGATTGTCTATTTCTGCGAAAAAATACTACATTTCAACTTTTGATAGCAGAGACCTTTTTCGCTAATCCTGCTACATTCAACCATCAAAACACATCACCAACAAACAGACTTACGAACAAACAAACTTACCAATAAGGTATCTGAATATCCAGTAGAGGAAACGTATGACAAGAGTTGCATAAGGCAAGGGGAGGATCGCTACTGCATCGTATGTAAACCTTTTAGTTCGCATGTAATTCTCTTTCAACTGTTGTTTGTCCGTTACCTGGCAAATTTTATTCAATTTTAGTCAAATTTTAGTCAATTTGAGACTTAAGTTAGGCATTTGCTTTTTTAAAGGCTCATGGTATTAGGCTGCCGCGCACGTACCTATACTTATCTGAAAGCTAGCCACTCACTATGACCAAAAAAATAACAGTTAAGTTGAATATGTCGTCACTCACAAAAGCAGTAAGTTAAAAGTTATCAAGTTAGTTTGGGGTTTAGTACGTAGTGAGGTAGTAGGAACTTACATAAATTCCATCATCGATGTAAGAGATGTTCATCTGAATAATCATATCGGTTGCGTATATTACGTCAGTAAGAATATCAGCTATCCAGAATAGCCATCGGTACTGAAAGAAAATTTAAAATTGATAAATGAAAAGCTGTATTTGTAATGAACTGCCTTTATAGATCACTTTATGTCATTGCATATAAAAATAGAATTTATTAATTATTGATATCACAGAAACTATAAAATTATTTTTCCAATCGTGCGAAATTCGTTTGGACAGTTAATGTTTCTGAGGAAAACTCACGGCCTCGAGCTGTTCGAAAGCAATCCTCATTATCGTGAAAATGATGTTGTAGAATACAGAAATACCAACTATCCCCTGATCAGAGAATATTGTGATTATTTTCCAGTGTAGAAAAGAGTGTCAATTACCAGCGATATGGAAGTAAAGAAATCATGTAATAAATCATCAGACTTCAAGCCGACAAAATGACAACCGAAACTTTTAAAATAATGATAAAACTATCCAAACAACCCCCAACCCCTCCCACTAACCTGCCAAGCATAGTAAAGATCCCCGGTCGGGTCCACTACAAAATCACTGAAAGGATGTTTCAGCATCTCATCCTCGGGATCCTCCTCCTCGTCATAGAAGCTCTCATCGGGGGATCCCACTCGGAAGGGATGTGTTTCAGGTGCAACTGGTTTAGTAGGAGGTGGTCCTTCTCCTGGATCCAGGTGATTGGCTCTCTGAAGAAGTGTGAGGACTGAAGTTTTTTGTGCATTGATAAGCGGACTAGGTTTTATTCCCATGAAAGAACAAAAAAAAAACCGAATGAACTTTAATTAAAAATATACCAACTATGGTTGCCCTTAAACATCTAAGTATTTTAAATTAAGCGTAACACGGTCTGAGATGCTAGCTAGACGGCACATAACGCATCTCGTAATCGATCACGTGACGCGTTACGTGCCGTCTAGCTGGGATCTTAAGGATATAGGGAATGCAAAGACTGAACACTAAGCATTACAACATTTAAAAACGTGACCAGACAGTTTTCCATTTACTTGAATGGATCTCATAAGCTCTCCCCGCTTACTGGCCGCATATATATATCTCTGAAAGTTCCTCCAGCTGACACTCTCGGCGAGAGCGCTAGCATACTGACTCATCGTCTCCACCGAGGACATGACGGAGCCAACTTGAGACACTTGTGACAGGGACCTCTTGATGGACCGTATGGGGTTGTAGGTGCCCATTTTTATCAGTTCTTTGATCTCTTCTTTGAGGACCATGGTGACGACTTGTTGGCGAGGCTTGTGTACGGAATACGACTCTTGATAGGTTTAACTTATGAAAAGATTCACAACAACAGGGGGAAGGAAGTGCGTTTCAATCGCTAGATTACGAAATATACTTGCAGGATCACTGAAATGAACTCAATATTACTTTGGCCACCGCCAGCCTGTCAACTTCTAAAGGGAACGGATTGCAATTTGTTGGCCAATAAAGTTGTGTTAATTTGAAGTTGAGGCATCGCTTTCATTTCGGTACTAGTACTACGGGAGTACACATGGAGTGACAAGTGACAGTAGGTAGGTGGCCTAGAAATATGCATAATGCAACGCACTAATAACATCAGACCTACAAGATGTCCTCCCAACAGATGACAGTCTAATATCTAACCATTAACTTCCCCATATAAAGTTTATGAGGTGAAATGTTAGCAAACGAACAAAGTATGTCCTCATTATGAGTGGAGCGTAAGTGGATTCAGAGCATGACACCTTGACAAGACTTACAGCGTGTTGTATGGATATTTTTATCTTTTTCATTGTTTTCTAATTATGCAAATATTCCATATACAATATTTTTAAACCTATCATTATGCAAACAATAACCTCAAAGAAGACATCTCATCTTTTAAATAACCTTTTGCAAAAAAATCTTCTAGAAATTAGGAAATGCTGGTGCTCACACAATAAAAGGTCAATGTTTTTGCAACCTTAATATCACCCTATTCTTGAAGCGGGATCCTCTAGGGATTACCGATGGAGGATGAATTGTACAAGTTGCAACAACATCTTGTTCAATAGGATCCCGGATCCTCATATCCTGGTGGACCACATACCAGTAAACACTTTGCGACAGATTCCTAGTGTATTACTCTTTCCAGCTGTACCAAAAGTATTCGGTCTTACATACATACTCTCCATTATACCCGAGTGACACAATGACCTGCGATTGTACCTTTTCTCAGCATACTCTACAATTCAAGATTCCATGCAATGTATATTTTTAAGGTTCACAAAGAGTATTCATATTTATAAGTCATTAGGGAAGAGTGTGTAATAATTGTGCTGGTGTTAAAGAGCAAATAGGAGTGTCCAGGTGTGTACTGCAGTTCTACAGTCTACACTAAAGTTCGACTAAAGTCTGAGCTCGAAGTTCAGGGGCAAGAGTTGCTGGGGTTAGAGAACCTCCCTGATAATTATAGTCCTAACAAACTGAAAGGGTGCACAAAGAATTAAAATTGTGTACTCTTAGCATAAACTCGAGTAAATGTAATTAACAGAAAGTTTCATACCTCGGGTTTCTCATCCTCCTTATCGTTATCCGCTCTGTTGGACCTGAAAATACAATAATATAAGTAACTTGTTACTCGTAATAAAACTTTTGGTGAAACTTAAGACTTTTTGGTGAAACTTAATTTCTGCTTTTATTTACGTCTACACCATGTACAGTTACTGCGGTTGCTTATTACTATATGAATTATAGGTATAGTTAGGACATCAGTGATTTTGTTTCGAAAAACTAGGAATTTACATTAATTGTAACCGAGAAACAAATAAGGAGCAGGTTTCCGTAAGTTATGGTTTCGTATAATAAATGTATTATGTAGGGCAGTTTGAAAAGTCAGTCGACCCTCTGTTAGATTTAATGAAGGGTTTTGACTCGACCTTTGAATAGCTATTATAAATTAAATTAATCATCACATTCCAAAATATTTCATGAACCATCAGCGTCGAGTAGAGTTGAAATTAACAAATTGTGTTATAGCATTAATTGAAAATAGTCCCACAAAACGTCTGACTAAACTGAGTGATCAATAATCAAAAGATCAAAGAGCTCGTTAAACTTACCTTAAGGTTTTTTGCCTATAGCTAGCTTTACTGAACAAGTAAAACCTATTCATCATTGGAAACTGAAATTTTACTTTTAGGTCAATGCAATAACTGCAAGAAGCTAACAGTAAGGGGGTACACTGCAATATTTTACACTGTTTTACACTAAACTTTTGCCTATTTTAGTGTATGGTGTAGTAAAAAATGTAGTAAAAAAGATACACTATTGTACACTATTTTACACTATTTTACACTATTTTACACTATTTTACACTATTTTACACTATTTTACACTATTTTACACTATTTTACACTACTTAACACTTTTAATTACACTTAACAAAATTATCTTCTAACAATCTTCTTTTTTCATATCATTTTCCAATCAGTCTTCACATAGTACATTTCCAATGGTAAAAAACATACCTCTGGTGAGAAAAAATGTCACTTTTTTACACTTTTTAAGGATTTTCTACAATACACCTTTTTACACTACACTTCTGCCTTTTTTATGTATGGTGTAAAAAGTGTAGTGTACCCCCCCCCCCCCCCCAACAGTAACACCTTGCACATTTCACTCAAAACACACAGTAAAAGGTTTTATAACATTGTTGCAACTCCAAATCAAATTCTATGGAAAATTAAACATGAAATAGCAATGCTAATTTGTGGTTTTCAAACGACCGATCGCCTGTTCAATATTTCTCTCACACCTTGGTTTAAACGGCCTAAACGGTAGCAATTAATCAGGAACAGAAATGGCTGCTAAAATAAGACGGCTATATAAATGACAAGCACAACTAAATTGAACCTGAACTAGAAAATTGAATTGCAAATGCACGTGTTAACAAAGGAAAAATGTTTAATGAAAATATTACTTTATGTAACGTCGAAAAAACCACATATAACCAACTACCTATAAGTTAAACCAAACGAAGGGCGTTTTTACGGGCGATTATTAACTTATCAACTTGAAACTGCAGAAAAACTCACTGTAGTGCAGTGTGCCCCCACATTTCATTTTTATTGGTTCAAGAAAACACAACTCTTGATGAATCAGGAGATTAATGAGCGAGCTAAGAGCGCGGTGGGGGCCGATCTATAACACGATGTGTGTACATGATTAATTTAACGAGTATTTCCAATATTGGTAGTTGGTGCTGCGGGAGTTACTAAGCAGTAAGCACTAAGTAATAAACTCTTATCAACTTATCCATTCAATCATAAATAATTAACAGTTTCAAGATCACACACTAGCATAATTTCCTCGCTGACCAAAAGAACTCAAACACTACCACTACCGCTGAGACATGACGAAAGCGCTTTATCTACAGAACCAAAGGAAGTCAATCAAAAGTCACCCGATTATACGGTAAAGGCCGGGCGTTAGTTTTGTCTGAACTGCTTAACTGCAAAACCATTTAAATATATCCACCAGCGTGCGCTTTTTCGCATAGCGGGCTCTCACCAGCCCGCTGTCAAAGGGCCCGATATCTCTACAGCCCGCTCATGATATAGCCCGCTAACAAGTGACATTTAATTTGACCAGTAGCAATATAGCCCGGAGTTCTCTAAAATATTTTCAGTTTCTGTATCGTCTCCATGTGAAATTCCTTATTACACTGACTATATTATATACATTTTATTTTTGTGTCCGGTAGGGCTGCTCATGCAGCTCGTGAGCAGATGACATGATACTTTGATATATATCAAAGTTATTATAACACACTACATAATACACATCAGCACTATAATCCCCCTATATTATTGATATTCATCGTCACTGACATGACATTCATAATTCCCACGGCCCAGGAATGCAGTGCATCTCCAGCCCCTATATACGACACAGCCCTTTATGATTGGCTTACATTGAACACGTGACGTGTTACCATGGTTACAACAATTAGTGGCGACCTTGTCTAGAGTTGACTTTTATACAAGCTCCATTGTTTATTTATAAAATTATATATTAACTGTAATACGCCCGCTGGTGGATATAATCCACATCACCTCGACCCGCGGGCGGAAAAATCGTATAGCACTCGGGCCCGATGGGCCCTCCGTGCTATACGAAAATATGTCCTCCTCGGGCTAGCGCCCTCGGGGACATATGAAATATTGCACGCGCGTGCGCGTGCAATATTTTGTTCCGCCCGCGAGTCTCCGGTGATATGTATATATATCCGCGCTTTCTACTGATAGATCCTTCAACAAAACCACAGTGAGTTATTAGGTTAGAGTATATAAAAGATCGTTACAGACTCTGCCACGACGACAGCAAATAGATTGAAGTTACACGGTCTCGACATCCGCACCGCGACTACCCGGGCTAAATATTCAACTTTGAAAGAAAATATTATTATCCGTGAAAAAATGTAAGAAATGCGGACCTTCACCGATTGTTGAAATTCGACATCTAGCGTCATTTAGCGTCATCTAGCGTCATCTAGCGTCATCTAGCATAATCTAGCGTAATCTAGCGTGAAATGACGCTAGATGATGCTAGATGACGCTAGATGTCGAATTTCAACAATCGGTAAAGGTCCAGAAATGCATGGTAAGAACCTAAGAGATGGCCGGCCCTTTTAAGCTTATAGGTATTGAAGGAAATACTTATTGTATAACTATAAAACCCGGATCAGAAGCCTCGAATTGGGCAAAATACTACTTACTACTACTAGTTACAATTACTTGTTGCAAGCCAGTAAACGGTACATGAATCATGTATTATAAGGGCCACTAGCAAGCTGCCTCATGTAACCCTTTATAAGTGGGTACAGGTGGTTAGGAGGGCGCAATACAAGCAGTAGCTGCATAATGGATGGGTTACAAGACATCTAGTAGTATAGTGTGTTCTGTACTAACCTGCGCTTAGCACCAACACTAACAAATAGCAACTGCAGTGAAGCAGCGGTAAACGTTGTTCTGGAAAAGAGCGTTAAATTAGGGTTTAAGAGGGGGTTCACCCTGATTGTTTTGTGAGATAGCAGTTGAGCAACAAACTAGGAGCAGTGACGGAAAGTCCCCAAGCGTTCATGACTCATCAGTGCCTGTGGTGCAGCTATGCCCAAATTTGGTCAATTTTTTCGCTCCATGCTTTCCGAATTATTCCATTTTGGAAACTTCGCGGACCCCCCCCCCCCCCCCCCCCCCCCCCATGAAAATACGATTCTACGTCGGTGGTCACACTTCCCTCCCACAGTATTTATACTCTACAGGGCGACACCAAGTTAAATGGTTTGCTGATTTCACGCTTACTCAATTCATTGCACGAAGTTGTTTTCATGACAGCCTCTGAAGCATTACCAATACCAAGTATTCAAATATGTGCTCATACTTGTTCCGAAGGAAATCATAATGGTTTGATTTGCATCATTGTTTACAAATTGAACAATCTTAATTCAAAATTGAAATATCCGAAATCTTCTTCCTTTTGAAACAATAATTGATTGATATATCATTCCTTAATCCTTAGCCCTTACTGGGAAAAGACATACCGGCAATGTACGATACTCGTGCATCGTATACTGCCGTTTTACTGTTTAAAGGTGCAGTTAAATTTAAACACTAAAAATATTTATTCTCTGAGATTATGGATATGAATATACAGCAGCAAACATGATAGGAATAACGGAAAAAGCAGGACATCACCGGATAAAGGATTCAGAACCACGGTAAAAAAATTATCAAAATCGGTGGAATTAACAAATTTTATTTGTACGATTATCACGTCTGTCAACAGTAAAATGCCAAATCTCGGAGACAAATTCTTTACAGTGGCACCTGTTACCTACTGACTCCTTTGCATCGTCTCTTAAAGCCGTATATGCCACATTCACCATACGGTGCTTATTCTTTTAAATTCAGATTTCGGAATCCAAACGTGCGTGAATCCGTTTCCTTTTTGGGGAGAAATAATATTGTGTCACATAAACGTTAAGACGTTTAAATTAATTTCCTGCCCCGGTACTCACCCTCTTTCATCCCCAAACTGTCTAGCGATAAATTCATCCTCGTCGTATTCGTTAGACATCGACAAAACTTGACTGTTAGTTCTTTTCCTGAAAGGGGTACAGTTTCTTAGAATTTGATTAGATCTTGTTGAATTTAGAATAAAGATTATTTTTGATCGTGCAATTATACTCGCATGATTCCAAGATTTAAAGTAAACGGGATGAAACGTAACATATAAATAGTAACTGCGTAAGTATATTGAAATCATCCAAATTGTATCATCTCCTTTACATGGCAGGGTTGAGCAAGGACACGAGAAATTCATACAAAACTTTATCGACCGAGACTCGGATATGATCCCAAACTACTCTCAGAAAACTGCAGTCCCAAATAAAGACCCATCCCCTTCACCTCAATTTAGATAATTATAATCACGGCGGAGGCGTGCACTTTAATAAAAGTGATTGTTTCCATCAATAGCACGGCAATATTTGGCAGCCGAACAATATATAGTAAAACCTTCTCTTCCAAGAGGTACTGGCAGGTCCTGAAAACGCTCTCTGGATAGCGTTCATAGTCGTCGTCTTGATCACGTGATAAGCCGAGCAATATTTTTTACAAACAGACAAACTTAGAATATTCAAATTGATAGTTGTTGAAGAAACTCGTCATTGCATCCAAATAAAGCGATCAAAGCAATGCGCGATCATTCTTATTAAGAAAACTATTCGGGGAAATATCGCTGGAGGTTACAACAGGAAAAAGTTAATAAAGTGATGCAGAATGAGTCAATGTAATCAGGCCCCGGAAAATGTTTCTCTTACCCAGTATAACACATGTCTGCAACTGTCAATTTAGTATTATGGAAAACTGTCAATACCATTATTATCTGGATAACAGCCTAACTTCGCCAGATTAGCGGCTTTTTATCGAATTTTCTGTGCGAAGTTAGGCTGTCAGGTAGGCGGGGTATAAAATTTCGGAAATAGTGAAACTTGTTGAAAAAGTAACCTAGACGTATGTTTGACCGTATAATTGATTAAAGGTGGTCCAGTAACGATTGCATCCATTTTATTGTGTATTTTAATCGGCTGACCTTACCGAAAATTTCTAAAAAACTACCAATTCTAAATCGGTGCACTAAGGCATTTAACAGATTCTCGCTTAGAAATAATTAAAAAATCAGGACATGTGGCCTCAAAACCAAACGTAGAGACTTCGTGAAACTATAGCACATAAACGATAATCATCATATCTATAGCATGTATATTGTATGCATCACCTAGACTTTAATTTCGCAAAACATAGATTGTAGGGCTTGCTACATTTGGGGCCTGATTATTTTGAATCAATCTGCAGATACAATATCTGCTGGACACACACAACATATAAATTGTTATCAGTTTTGATAATGATATGGCTTGAAAGGGGATGTGAGCTATATGGCGACGGTACCCCTCAACAATACGGACGAATAACCGCCAAACCTCAAGTATTTAATTACCACAGCCATTTCCACCATGTCTATCTATTATTGCACCCGGACTTGACACTTCTACAGCCCACTTATAATTATGTCAATGATAGGTATAAAAGGGGACGAAGGGACTGATTTTATTTACAGGATCTGACAAACTCCAGGATTAGCGAGGGAGATTAGGGAATTAGTTGATCATGGTAGAGAGACAGCCTGGTGTCCTGAATACAGTACTCTGCCAATGTCATGTTGATGAGGGTCTTGGAGGGCGGTTAAATGTTAATCCGGACAAATAAAGCAGAGGGCAGCGGGTCTATCAGACCGGGGTGATATACAGTATAGGAATATCGATCATTACATAGTGAGATTGGCATGACTGCTCATGATGGGCATCTTAGATTTTCTCTCACGAAAAAGCAAATTAATTTGCCCAACAGGTGATATTTATGGGAATTAGAAGGTTTCATACTACACCCTTGTCCCTTCAGCCTGGTCCCTGGTACTATATTAATGATATCAGGTACCCATACTATAATTCGAAACGTACTGTTTTTCGAAAAATCCTAACGTTCGACTCTGTCAAACTAGAGTACGCTACCTGGACACAAAGTTTGACAAGAGAATTGTGACTGGGTGAAAGGGATATTCATAAAGATAAATTGTGTAATTTGGATTATCTTTCAATTCAGTTTTATTATTAAACAATTTTGAGTCACATAATATGAAATTTGATAATTTTTCATCATCTTCGGATTGATCTTCCAATCTCTCAGGCCTTCCTTCTTTAGGACGTTGTCCAGTTGATTCCACATATTCATTCGTGTTGCCAAATTCTATAATTAAAATACCATGGCCGTGTGAAGACTTGGAGAGTTGGAGAGGGTAGAGGTATGTGAATTGTGATCGATAGCGTGCAGCAACAGTTATATGAGTAATTGAGTATACCACAACTACAAAGTACAAGTGTATCAGTGCGTGTCATGGGATCACGAAAGAACTCGGTCTTCATTAATACCACATGATCTGCTCATGATGTGAGACGCTGGAAGTGGATCACAACCAGAAAAAGGAGGGAACATATTTGTCGAACTAGAGTGCTCTACCTGGACTCTAGTTCGACAAGGGTGATTTCTGGCAAACTTAGGGATTTACAAAAGTACACGAGCACGAAATGAGACAGGTGACTATTTTCAGTACGATAATTTGTAAACCATCATTATCCATGTTCGTAGCCATAAGCAGTAAACAGTGGTATCAGTAACGTATAGGTAGACTGATTGAGCAATACCGAAATAGTGTACTGTTTATTATTATTTTCCTGCTGAATTCGATATAATGATCACTAATTGATAATTGGACAAAATTCCAGGCTGATTTCAGGAAAATTCCACATTAAGAATAACTTATTTTAAAGTTTTTTCCGTGTATGTTAATGTCTCCACTTACCACAAATAAATATCAAAGTCACTACATAGTTTGAGGTTGGATTAGTTCAACTACAGGATATCAACTGGACCACGACTACAGGTAATGGCAATGATTATGTTGCTCAATAACCAAGAGCACATCAATAGATATGGGATCAGGGATTAAATATACAAATATTTTAAATACATTAAATATACAAATATCAAAAAGCTTAAGTAGCCACGGTGGAAGAGGCGATCATGCACGCCTTTTCTAATTTATAAGCACCTCCCCTCTTCGCCGATGCTACGCTGCAGAACAGTGCATAACAACTAATAATAACCCACCGTTTTAACGTTGAGACGAATCGTAGGATCTTGACAATGTTGGGAAGGGATATGATATCAGTCACTCCCTCCATTCATGAACGACTGTAATAGTCTATTAACTTTCAGACTGATCTTTAACAACAACATGCAACCTTATTTATCAAGGTAAAACGTCCAATGAAGAGCTAGACGACAGCTATTTGTCCTTTAATAACTTTTAAGTTTTTAAACGATTTACGCTCCAAAACTCGGTATGTCCGGTCTCACATTTTTCTATACGGCTGCGTATCAAAAACTGAATTAAATGCTAAACCAATAGGATATTAATACAGAAGGTTCAAAACAGTTGATAAGACACTAGGTAATTAGTAATATTTTGATTTTAAAACAATGGACAAATTAAGATGGCACGAATTTGAAGTTATTTCAGATATCTCCAGTCCGAAAAGTGGCAGTATGGTTGAGTGTACACTATTTGGTACTGGATCATGATGTCCCATGATTCTGATATAATGATGAACCCCTCTTTACAAGTTATTATTTTATAAGAGCTTTTCATCTAGAACTGTAGAAGTGAAACAAATTCTTATGGAGTCAGCTAGGGTGTGGACTAGCTATAGGTTGTAAAAGTAGTAAGTAAGTTAGAGTAATACATGAAAACATAGCTTCTGAAGAACTTGGTATTGTGCCAATAAAAAACACGTCCTCACATGAAAAATTAGCATTTGTCTCATTAAAAATGCACATTATCGACACTAAATACAAAGAAAAGAGAAAAAACGTTCTAGACCATTAAGAAAGATGCTCACATTCAACAATGTGATATGTAACAGTGAACTCATAGCTGAAATTATATTCAAGTAAACCAGAAGCAGATGATATTAAACCTAACCGAAGAAGTAACTTACAGCAGCAGTAGAAGAGTGGATAGTGGATTTAGTTATATAGGGTCAGACTCGAATTTTATGTGTATATAACTTAGGCTGGATACTAAACAATGTGACAATGAACGGCCCGGTCTTATTAAATATTCATAAAATAAGATGCCCCGGCCCATTAATCGTTATGCAAGCCGTCGGCGAGGGTGTATAAGTTCTATTATATTATGTATAGTATTAGTGTTAGTACGCATTATGCGCATAGTGCATCTGGTGACTAATAGAGTGCGTATATAATAAATGATACTAAGTCACTGTCACACAAATTAAGAAATGTGTCTAATCGGTATAGACTATGGATTGAGACTAAAATGAATATCTATTTCCAGATAAATTATCATGGTTATCTAAGAGATTGATTAATTAATTTCTGATTCATTCTTGTGATTAAGTTAATCTGGGTTTGCAATATTTATAGCTGTTTTTAACTAGCTTTAAACTAACGATTGTTGGATTCTGCATGAAATCTAACAATTTAACAGCTACCACATAGTAAAATAAGGGAGTGTACTAAAACATATCTGCTCTTTTGCGCTCTAGAGAAGTATGCAGGGACCTTGTACCATAAGTATGCAAGGACCTTATATCATTAGCCCAAAACAGACGAGTATAGCTTATCATAGGGCTCTAAGCGTCTATGTAAGATCAAGTATGCGAAGTGTCTTAAAGCAAAATTGAGCAAAAACCTTGAAATAAATTCACTAAATCGGGATTAACAAAACGCATTTTGTCCAACCAAGACAATTGTAGCTGACTGAATGAATTTTTGATAAAAGACGAGAGAAATGTTCATTGTCCATGTTTCTCTGTACAAATGTTTCCCTTGCAAAAAATAAACACACTGCATACTGCAAACTAATTAAAATTCTCCTTATCTAGATATTTTAAATCTCCGAATAACTTTGGAAATAAGATTTATTCTTTAAATCATTTCAGGATGGTATTTAGTTGGATTTAACTCAACAATATTCCAAATACAGACTTAATTGCTTTAGCTCTTAAAAGAGAGAAAAAATAAAATTCTTACTAAAGTAAAGAAGATCCAAATGTACTATATGTAGTCCTCAACACACCATGTAGAGGAAACATTAGGAGCAAGAATTGAGAACTAAAAGGAAGCGAGCATATCAGTAATGGACGCTTGTAATACAGGTACTAGCAAGAAATATTGCATGTATAACGGGTCCGTAGCAGTGTGAGTAACATTAGGTGAGCGAATGAGTAGGTAAACCTGTGGAAGGAAAGGGCCGCGGGATTGTACAATCGAGTCTCCGGGGATTGGGAGAGTCTACCAATAATTAGTTCATTGTTATTCATAATATCAGAAGCGGGTCATGTCAATGGTGACAAATTTCTATGCTCGCGCCTCAAATGATTGATATAATATTTTAAGAGTTTCAATGGGCGAGATAAAAGCACTTTAGAAGAGCTAAATATCATATTAAATAGATATGCCACCAAGAATATACAGTCACCGTTCAGCTTTTTTGTCGTTATGAAATGAAATAAAATAATGTGCTCGTGTACCGCCCATATGGATAGCAACTGACACAAGTGACAGGGACTAACCAATAACCATGTCAGAGCGGTTCTAAATGGCGAGGTGAAAATATTCAGCAACAAACAAGTAAATCATCTCACAAACAAATCCATTCTGAGATAATCACTTCTATTATATCATATTAGGGAACCAAGAATCTCAATCACTTGATGTGGTAATTTTAAGAAATATCGTAAAAACAGTGAAGCTATTTTAGCTATTTAGCAATAAAAGTGGACATTTTAGTCTTTAAATGATAATGATATTATCCAATTTAAGTTCAAAGGACGATAAAATGAGCGCCAAGGTGCAAACAAACAAAGCATCTGGAAGTTTTCCGCACACCTTTACTTCTCGGCACAGATTTGCATCCAAAGAAATATCCATTATACAATATACAAACTAATATATAAACTAATCATAAAGTAGCTCTGTTGCCACGATGCTTCATAAAAATCAGCTGAATGTAGAGACACGCACAGAACTCTGACATTTTATTATAAGTCCAGGCTCCTTTATATATTTCTCAAGCAAACTTGAATAAATTCTGATTTTTTTTCTGTCATAAAAAATTCGTCCAATGATTCAATCTACTTATTCTCCAAGCATTTCGTTTATTTATACTTATATGTAATACAAAATCGATACAATGTCATCGGCGATAATCCAAAGAAATGGCTCTCCTGGAAATTTGTCGACACTATATCAGTATTATA